GATCTGGTGGCATCTAGTGGTGAAGTTGCAGATTACAACCAACTTAATAACGTGGGAGAAACTATGGGGGTGAAATTTGTGAAAAACACAAAAGGCTCCATCTGGAGCCAGTGTTTGGTTTGTCCATTCTGGGCTACTGTAGAAACATGTTGGTTCATCATGGTGGACTCCCCAGAATTAGACCTAAACTGTAGATAAAAACAGCTCTTTCTAAGGTAAGATATAAGTTATCATTTTTCATTTCTGAGAATAGATCTTCCTAAATGTTTCACACTGAACCTTTAAAGTGAAAATACAATTTTGGCAAATTCACATCAGTCAATATAATATAAACAATTGGAATATTATGTCTACATGGAGAGTTATCTCCTATTAAAAAACTGAGCTAAAACAAGGAACAAGGACATCATTTAAGGTGTTGCTTTTTTATTCATTTATTTAATTTAAGGAAATGCTGCAAAACAAACAGTTACTCCTTTGAATGTAATGGTCTCCCAAAAAACACTACTGTATCTTTATTCCTTGAAAATGATACTGTGAAAAAGATTAATTCAAGTTTTAACCATCCAGAAAAGTTTACCATTTTGAGTGCTTTGAAAACTGGAAAATTTGATTTTTGAAAACGATATTAAATAAACTATGAGTATGGGCATGTAACAACTTTTATTACAGCTTATTAGATGAAAATGATTTTAACATGTATCAGAATCTACTGGTTCATATGGTATCTTCTATAGAGCAGGGTTTTTGGTTTTCTCCTATGCTTTGGGAGAGATTAAATGTAGTGTGGCATTGAGATATCCATGAAATAGGCTTCATAATCTCTGAAAGAAAAAAAAAAAGCCTCTTCCTCATGGTTCAAGAGTGAAATAATTTCTGAACAAACTTCTGAATAACACCACTCTCAGCAAGTCTTTCAGGAGACGTCCTGAAAGCTTAGCAAAGGAACCAACTTCAGTCTTTTAAATTGCTATTTTAAACCAAGCGTTCTGTAATTTTGCAGACATTTACGGCATCTTATCACATTTGCGTGGTGATGAACAGGACTGCCAAAACTGCTCATTAAAACGGTTGATTATTTTAAAGAGGTGATGCAAGGCACAGCAACCTCGTCACAATGCGTGCTGCTGTCAGCGCTGGTAGAGAGCGCCCTCTCCTGGCAGCAGTGCATGTGAAGGGCACATCTTGACACTTAAAAAACGTATAATAAATTGCATTTCATCCATTACGTTGTGCTGATCTACAGTATTTCAGAAGAAGGAACTCAAAATCAACTTTTTAACAGGTTTATTGACATGTGTATAGCGATTGTCTGTGCACCAGATGATTACAGAAGAATATGATATAAAATAATACAAAATAGCTGTACATAACACAGATGTATTTAAAGGAATGCATTAGTAACTGTGAGGTTTTACGCTGTATAATACGTGTCGGCTACTCACTCACCTGTCGTAAGATGAGTTCATATGTTGAGGTTTTGCCATCTGGAATGAAGGTCAACTGATACATATAGTTAAAAAAACAAAGTTAGGGAAGAGCTAATAATGTTACTGGTGGTATTAAACAACCTGATGCCCTGCTAAAAAATACTGTATCTGAAATATCCAATGACACTAAACTCTAAAAACGAGGGAAAGGAAATTGCATATGGACACCTATAACCCAAAGAGGGCTCGAACAGAAGAATTAAACAAAGAGGAAAGAAAAATCAGCTAAAATAAATATGTCAGGTCATAAACTAGAAGCCAATGAGGGTGCTGCAATGGTTCTTCCATCCACATGCCAATGGTGTTACATTAATCGTTGTATATATTATCTTCAAAAGCAGGATTCACTGGTTTTGGCGTGCTTAGTAAAAGGCAGCTGATCGAGATGTTTTCATAGCCTGTTTGTGCCTGTTTCACTAGACCCCTTTTTTTTTGTATATAAGACCCGTGTGTGACTGATCCTAGACCTGTGGTGATCTGCCCTACAGTATGCCAACTATACTCTGGCCAGTACATTAGATGATTACCTCTCACATGTCTCTTTAATGTGTTTTCCTAGAAGTGAAACTTCTTGACTAAAGTGTCATCTACCAGCTTTCTTAACAGCCATGAATCTGAAATCGCTAATCCTGAGCTACAGTAATTATCCACACTACGTCAATTATCCACCGCACTATAGGGAGTTTAAATCTTGTATTAAGACTTCAAGCAGAAAATATCTTTCTTTCTTTTTTTTTTTTTGGAAAGCAGCAGGCCTACTTTCAATAGAAATGTTCTATGATCAGTCTAAATACAAAATGGAAACAAGTGTCGCTGTGTGATTATTTGGTGGAAAATATTAGCATAGTAGTACAAAGTGGGATTCGATAGGTCTCATTCACAAACGTCACGCAATCTATCAAGTATGAGGATTTTCTTTTTTTAGGCTCTCTATTTTTTTTTCTTCTTCTTTTGGAGAGGTCTTCCAAAAAATCAACCAAACTTAAACAAATGCAGCGTTGTTAACAGCTGAAGACTCGGAAGACATCTTGGCCTGCGACAAAACGCTCTCGGCATGAGTAACAGGTTGGCAATCAACCGTGCAAAGTTTCTCGAGTAAGTGTACGTGTAGTGTACATACTGTATGTGTACGTTTAGCACATGCAAGCTAGACACAATTTCCATGTGAGCGTGTGTTATCAATTATACGTCTTCCACACTTGAGGCTAGTATTGAAATTATCTGACTTTTTCGAGTTAGTTCACCAAGCTACACCATAATATTCGGTTACAAAAATAGTATCACAATATAGACCATTCAATATGAGCACCAGGGAAGGCTTAATATAGCCTGAGTATTTGGCTACATTCATTGTCTGGGCAATGTGTTTTGTTACGGTAGCAGTGTGTTAAGTGTGTGTTTGTTGGACACAGTGTTGGCAATGTTTTCTCACTCACAAGCTCTCCTAGATCTACCACACGATAATATTCAGAAACATACAGAACTTGCTTACACTGAGTAACAACAGTGAACTAAAACCAATTTTAAGTTAGAAAAATAGTAGTTTTTTTTTTTTTTTTTTAACACTGAACATCTAAAAGAATTCCTCCCGCTTCCCCAAATAAACCCCTCCCCATTTACTAACAAAATAGTCTTCTTTGAAACAAAAAGGAAAAGGTTATCTTTTGAGGTTACACAAGGTCAAACCTTTTTGACACTCCATCATCCTAACATGGACCCTGTTTAGCATAATTCAGTAACCAGAAGTGTGTTCAAGGTAACACAACAGTAGCAACACAGTATGTTCTTATCGTGAGGTCTGCTGTGTTCTTCTGCAGCCTAAACATGCTAATTTCTGTCTAATGCATCTGAAAATGAGCATTTACATAAATCGTAAGTCCGGTATATTTCATCGCTGATTCAGTTACTCATCTTTAAATTCTAGTGCTTTGGTTACATCACACATACTTCACATCACTGGTCTAAAACCTCATTTGGAAATCAAATAAATCATCGCATTGAACACGCCTCTGGTTGAGCCCTTAACCCGGAAAACCATTTCAGCCATGTTTGAAGGAACTGCTGACGTGACACTTGGCTAAACATAGCACAACATCTAGCTTATCTATGGGAGTGCTATTATTGCTGTAGAGAGTTATGAAGTGGATTTTACCCAGTTTCATTCCCAGCCCTTGTTTATCATCGTCATGTTTATCAGATACAATCTGGCCTTATAACAGGTGAATATTTTTTGCGTGGTGTGATCATACAGCGTGTAGTGTTTCCTTCCAGTGCTCCAGAGTTCATCAGAGAGTCTGCAGGTTTTCATTCCAACCTAATATTACACAAGGGGATAAATTATGGGGTCTCTCTGCATAGATTTCACACTAAAATGATACATGAAGGCAAAAGATGATGAATATGAACATCCTGATTTTAACTATGACTAATACATTTCCCTTGATGACTAACTAGGAAATGTTGAATAGAAGCACAAGCCTCTGGTCTCATCTTGTAACGTCCCACATTTACCATAAGTAGTTAGTGAAAGGTGATGGTGGGGGTTTTTTGTTGCAGGAGCTGAAGCCAGATGGGCTTTATTTGGCGATCAAAGTGCTACCACAGCTAATAAAGAAAAAAACAATTATTGAGTGGCAGCAGTTCACAACAATTACAGTAACATGTTTTGGAAATAAAGAGGCAGCCAGATATCCGGCCGAGAAGTGCAAGAGGTGGCGTTTCACCAAGTTTAAGGACACACGGACGCTGCGGACGTGTACGACACGGTCAGCTAAGGAAAAAGGCGATTCCTTTCTTATGTGCAAAGAGCTATTTGTCATTTCATACATGGCTTCTGAAACAGATGGAAAGTGATCTGTTTGTTTTGTATGACATAGTATATAATTAGTGGCGTGAAAATAATTGTTTGCAAAAGGTCAAGCAGCATCGTTTAAGATTTTAAGATTTTACTTATGAGGAGCTTCTCATGTTGGGACGTCAGTGAAATCAGCTCATGTAGAATTTGGCTGGAATGAAAAACAGCAGAATTCTTCATGATGGAAGACTGGACACCGTGTAGAGTTTAGAGTGAATTTGTTTCACCTATTCTCCAGATCGACATGCATCGAAGGATAAACAAGGGGAAGGATTATTTAGCCTTGAGCTACATTCAGAAACAACAATTTGACAGTGTTTGTTATACACACAGAATGCGTGGCCTGAGTGTAGAACACACACGCTTAACACATACATTACCTATCCCTACTTAACACTGATTAACATTTGCATTCGTGAATGAAGCTAAGGCATCTTTCTGTTACTGTGATAGTGGTTGCTGAGGAGTGGTGACTAGTCGATGGGGCCCTGGAAGATGAGCCGCGTCCAGCCGGGGGAGCTGAGGGCAGTGGAGCAGAAGGGGCAGATGGGTCTAAAGGCGTGCGTCCCGTGGGGGAGTGGGGTCTCAGCCCAGTATCTTGCAGTCCTCTCTGAGGAGACGTGGCCGCACGGCACAAAACCGTGAGTGGGAGCTCCAGCGTCCACGTACACAGCAGGCTCACAGCCCAGCCACAGGGGCACGTATGGACCCACGCTCCTGCACAGGGGACATTCTCGGCGGGCCGTGGAACCGTCGCTCTCTCCCGGCTCCTCCACTCCCTCGGATCTCTGTCCCCAGTCGTGGCGTCCGTGGACATGGCCGCAAGTGAGGTAGACCCAGGGCTGACGCTCTTCAAGGCTGAAGTAACACATCAACAGTGTCAGTATTTTCAACTCTGTGTGAACTCCTGGTGCTAATCATTCATAAAGAGCTTGAACATAGAGGAAGCTCCTGGAGATGAAACAAAATCACCATCCTGATAGAAAACAACACGTATTTTTAAAAACAGATTGTGGCTCCCACCTGTGGCTGCGTGGCAGGCTGGGAAAGGCCAGCGTGCTGAGGCCTACAGGACACTGGGGCCGGGACGCATTGAGCTCCTGGCGAAGTGCTTCCAGGTGACGCAGGGTGGGAGCACGCATCAGCCCCTCACCTGTACGCCACAGCAGGGTGGCACCACACAGGTCAACCAGGGAACCATCACGTAGCGCACTGCTCTCACCCTCTGCCTGCAGAGGTTGATACACAGACAGACACGCGCTTACAATGAAACCAAAGACAAACCTCACAACCTTGATGGACAGGGTAACCAAACTGGCAGTGGCTCACCAGTTTGCCCCGGCTGGGCCCAGAGCGCGTCTCCCGCAGGGCATAGACGTCTCCACAGACTGAGATCTCCCTCCACAGACCCTGCTTGGGGTCCTCTGGGAACCCCTCCGGGTGCATCACTAGCACCCCATTGGTGGTCAGGCCGTCCATGTGCCCATCAGGGTTTTTCCATTTGGTTGCTTTCTCCTGTGGTGGCACACACACACACAAAGGCATGTAAATCATTCCTGATCAAATTAAGATGATCTGTAATAGGGAAAAAAGGCAAGTTTTCCAACCTCCATGAGGTGTAAGTATTTGAAATAACTTTAACAAGGATTCCAAAAATATAGTTTTTATTAGAAACCTTTGTTAGATCATCAGTGTACTTACCCCTAAGAAGATATTTTTGGAGGAATCAAAGCCAGCGGCGTAGATGCGTGCAGTGTATGGTGGGTTGCGTTCACACACCACTCTGCAGGCAAAACGTGAGATGGTGCTGGGAGCAATGGAGGGGTCCTCCCCCTCCTTCCCCCCTCCGGAGGTGTCTGTCACCACAAAGTCAATGGGACTTTCTGTGGAGCGTCCAATCTGCAGCACAGCACAGAGGTATTGATTGATTGATTGGTATTGATACACTGTATATAACAATACAATTATTAATAGTTTTAGATTCACACTAGCTTCCTGTAGGTTTTTGGATTTTCTACAACATAAACAAATTTTGTTTCCCACAGGTAGTAACTTTTATCGCCGTGGGTGATTTGGGTGGATATCATCATCATTTGTTAGAAACTAAATAAATCTGTGATTCTATTACAAGAGCAGACCTTTAAATAAATAAATAAAATGTATAAAAATAGACTTTCTTGGAGATTTTATACTCCATACTCCGGCCCCAGTTCTGAACCTACTGCAGACGTTGCTTTGATGACATTAGGTAAGAGCATATTTTGGGAGAAACTTTCTCATGATGACAAGTCTAGGATTATTTTTGTTGTAAAAGGAGCCTTAAGGAGGATGTACGAAACAGCTGACCCTCTGTTGATCTCTCTAGATTTCCTTGGCGTGTTACCTGGAACATGTCTGTGTTGTTGTCATGGCAGTACTCCACCACCACTGTCTGGTTGCGGGACAGAGTGAAAGAGATGCTGTGCTGCCCCCTGCTGTGGACCGCCTGCAACAACAGCAACAAGAAGAGTTGATGAACTTATCTTCTGGAAAAGTCTTTCATCTTCTTGACAGCTCATACATGGAATTTAATTATATCGTTACTTAAAAGTCCATAAGACATACTGACATTGAATAATTGTAAAATAAAAGTTTAATGTTTAATGTAGCATTTGAAATCAGCGACTGAAACAATGACCTGAGTGTAATTTAAAAATGTAATTTATCTTCATTTTACTTTACTGCCATGTCCCATTCATCATATGATCATACATACTTATATAAGTAGACACACACACACACACAGATAGACAGCCTTCATGCAAAAGCCATCATGCTTAGTCATCCTTCCTCTGGCTCATTATAAAAGACAACAGGGAGTCACAGGAAGGAAGCTAACGTTCCACACTGATAAAACATACAGTACAAAAACACACACACACACACACGCGCACACACACACACACACCTTGCTGTCCTGTGGTGTGTTGAGGATGTGCACAGCGCTGGGTTTGACTCCGTTGGCCTTGGCCCTTCGGTACAGAGCGAAGCGGCTCTTTCTGCGCCCACGGTCTCCGCTTGGAAGAGAGCCATTGTACCTGGAGAAAAGCACACAAAAACAAGCACAGGATGAAAATACGGACGTGGACACACACACACACACACGTAACACTCAGACTGACCCAGACTAGGAGACAACTCAGACTCAGAGACTGTAGACATGTAGACAAGTTCATTGAGCTTTGTTGAGAAAGCCTAATGGTGGGAAAAACACTGTTATCTCACTGTTTGCATACTGCATTTATGATCTGTCATCACTTGCGGAAAAACTAAAGCTATAAATAAAATGCCACTGGTGCTGCCAAGATGTCTGCAGACATAACTGCAATTAGAGTGCGAGCTCAACTGATTTTATGCATCTTTACGGCTACATTAACGCAGATTCTTTTGAAATGACTTAGAGCAGCACAGCCTGGGCCACCCGTGATTCATATTAAACTGCTGAACCTCAATGAAAAAGGACAACTGCCACTTGATCTCGCTCACTCAGCTTGTACTTGAGGCTCATATGTGCTGGCTCTTCATCTAAACTCCTTTTACAGCATTTTCAACAGGACAGAATCATTTTCGTGACGCCATCACACAACACCATTAAGCACGTAGCCCTGAGTGCTCTAGTTGGGGGAACATTACTTTGAAGGTTCGTGTTCATTAATAGAAACAGACGTGAAAATTCAGCGTCTCCTTATGAGAACAGTAAATAATGTATTCTAGACCTCGAGTGTTTTATAATTCAATATCAGGCTTTTTGAAAAGATGATCTCAGTTTTGATGTTTTAAGGAAAATGATGTTAAAAACCATCCTGGTGCTGACTAAGATCCTGACTTTGTCCTCATTTTGTTTGAAGCTTGGGTGAACATCAGTTGGGTTCATGCAGAAGGTAGTATGGTGGTTTTAAGCTTTTAACTAATCAGCAGGGCATGGTCCGTTTTAAAAACTGAAGACTTTGTGAGGGACAATAACTGTCTTTGCTGGCCTTCAGACATTATCAGATCAGAGGGCATCTGGTCTGGCTCTGCTCTGATCCGTCTCACAGTGGCCTTACAGCGTGGGACGAAGAAACCACTGCCGGCTTCACGGGTTGTACAATAAAGCTGGAAACTATGATTGATTCATCAGGCAGTCTCTCATAAGAAACTAATCAATGGCAATTTTGACAAATCATTAGTTACTTCAGAAAATAAAGAGGCCAGTAATCTGCTGGTCACGGTTTTTCAAGTGCAGGAATGTCCGTACATTTCTTTTTTATATCATCACACACTGAATATGTGTCAACACGTAAGACATCACTCTGGGCTCTGGTGAGTGTTTTTTTTAGACATTGCCTTTAAAGGAAATATATTAGTTTCAGCTTCTTAAAAGAAAATATCTGACGGTTTTCTTTGTCTTCTGTGATTGTATACTGAATATTCTTGGGTTTTAAGACCAAACAAGACATTTGAATATGTAAACTCACTATTTAAAACACATTAAAAGTCCAGTGGGGAACATTTAGGAGGAATGGAATATA